CAACCTGGTCTACAAGAGCTAGTTCCAGGACAGCTAGGACTGTTACACAGAGAAACCCTGTCTCCAAAAACACAAAAACAAAAACAAAAACAAGAAAGCAGGCTGAACAAGTCAGTAAATGCTTACAGCGTTTCATCACAGCAACAGTCCCCCTAAAACATTAATATTGGTTGTTTCATTACTTAGAGTTCTCACAGCCCCAAGCCCTAACATGGTCTCAACATGCAAGCAGCACCAAAGCACAGGTTAAACATAAGCGTGTCTGACAGTGCTAACTCTTTCCCCATGAGTGCTGGGAATTTAAAATGTGAAACCAATGCTGAAAGATTACGGATCACGGATCATGGACCTACGGGTGCCAATCTTCACCTGGCTGATGCCCAGCCCTGCCACCCTGCAACCCGCCTGGTCTCAGGACATCCTCCTACAAGCCTCCCTATGGAAAACAGCTACTGTGGTTTGATCTTAACCAGCAGCATGAGTGTGTGTGTGTGTGCTCGCGTGCGCGTGCATGCACAAATGCGTGGGGGCATGCACACTCGCTACGGCAGATTATCCCAAATGTACTGGTTTAAAGCAATGTAAGCGGATCTTCTCCAGTGCTATGGGCTCTCAGCCAAATGAGTTCTGGAGGAGGAAGACCAGGGGATCCGCAGGGTTGCACAGCTTCTCCAGGCTCTGGGGAGTTACTCCCTCACTTTCCAGGTTCACAGGCTTGGTGTGTAGCTGGGGGCCACTTCCCACACCGGTATCACTCAGCCCAGGCCTCCTTCCTACCTCCTCTGTCTGGGGTTCCCTAGTCCATCTTAGACGCCACCTGCATATTTAGCATTGTCTCGCCCCTTCATGAGCTTTATAAAGGAGCCGCATCTGCTCAGTCTTCTTGGTTGTCTGGTTCCAGGGGTTGTTTGTGATGTGAGTTTCGTTTTTGTTTTTGAAGGGTTGGGTATATAACCCCAGGGCCTTGTGCATGCTAAGCCAGTACTCCACCATGAGACACATCCTCAGACTCCAACTCACAGATTTCACCTTCCTTAACAGCCTCTAGTTCAGTGTCAGGGACAGAACCCAAGGCCTTGCACATGCTCACAACTGCTCAACTACTGAGTTCCGGGTCAGATTAGGTCCCCTTTGAGTTGTTATCTAACCTACTACCGAGCTCTAGGGACACGGAAATGACTGTTCAGGAACACATATCAGGGAGCACTGAGGTAGCCTTTCTAGCTTTCCACTTCGACTCAATTGTGGGTCCTAAACTCATTGCCCGGAGTCTGTCTCCATACAACAGCCCCACACGTTTGACTCCACCCAACCATCTCTATGCAAGGGGCTCCCCATCCCGAGCTGGGGGGGGGGCTCCCCATCCCGAGCTGGGCGGCGGGGGCTCCTCAGGGTTTGCTGAGTGAGTAGCTGGGTAAGCAAGCCCCTTCCCCTGTCCCACCCCTGTGTGGAAGATACTAAATCTAAAAAGGTCCTGATTCCAGACTTAGGGCCCCTCCTTCCTCAGTGCATGCTGATCCTTCTAAAGCCTCCAGGCCTGGAAAAAGGAGCTCCTCCCCCAGGGATGAGGACATCCTCCTACAGAGGTGCTGAAAACACAAGGGATCTGGGCATCACCCCAGAGCACTGAATACTTGGCTAACTCCTCCCAGAAGCCATTGCCATTGAACCCAGGGACCAATAACCTCACAGCTACCTCAGTGACTTCCTTAGTCCCAGTTCTTAGAACCCCCTTCCTGGAGTACAATAGAGCCCTGCACCCCAATCTTTCCTCCATTTCCTGCCTCAGGGCCTTCTAAGCAGCATCTCTGCCCCCTGGCCACCGTCACCCACCCACAGCCAGGCCCATGGCGTCCACACATTGCAAAGCCAGTTACTGTTCAATGGCTCTAGTCCCAGCCAGACAGAAGTTACTGCAAGTCACATCACATGGGGACTGGAGCCACCACCTGAGGACAGTCCCCGGACTGACACGTGGAGATGGATATGACAGGGACCTGAGGCTTGGAGGCTCAAGATTAGATCAACAAGGCTGGGGCTGGCTGGTTCCAGGAAAAAGGTCATGTGGACACGGTTTGACAGACAGCTCAAGCAAAGCCAAGGTTTCAGGCTGGCCTTCCCCGAACAGGGGAGGCACTGGGGCTGATGGCCCAGTCTAGAGATGAAAAGCCTGAAGTCCTTGGTCTCTCTTGGGCACTGGCATTTTCCCAGGAGCTCCCAGAGGCCAGTGTCATTGTATCCAAGAACTAAACAACCACAGCTCCCGTGGGTCTCCAGGACATGCCCAGCTCAGATGTCCTTTAAGCAGGCATTCAAGGTTTCTCTCTCTCCTGTTCACCTAGGCCCAATGATCAGCCACCTGTAGCTGAACTGCGGTACCCAAATCAGGACCAGATGGTCTTGGGGTGCACGGTCTCCTGCTGATCCGGTTTGGTCCGGCAGGTGAAGAACAGAGATCTGCCTCCTTAAGGAGTCCCCTTACAAGTCTTGTCTTGGGAAGCAGCCACCTCTGGGGTATGGAGGAATAAGAGGGGAGAAGTGGGCACCTGGAAGTTCCTGGTCGGGGGAGCTGGGACTGACCCTAAAACACTGGATGCTCTCAGTGGGTTCAGGGGAATGGAAGGCAGGCTTCCTCCACACACATGGACCAGTGCACCCCCAGTGTACACTGACTTGGGAGACTGGAGGCCCCTTTGCTCGCTGCAATCCACAGCTCAGAGCTATCGTCAGTGTGGAGCCTGAGCTGCCCACCGCCCACGCAGTGATCTCTACCTTCCGCATCCCTGGCTGCACCTCGCTTGCAGCAGCTGCTAGCTTAGTGTCCTTGAATGATCTGCCTCCCAGCCCCCACATACTGTAACCTCCTCGGGGACCCCTACATGGCAAATGGTCGCAGCTCCAGACTGGGGAGGGGGAAGCGGAATGTGGGAAGATGAGTCGTCACCATGGGAGCAGACGACTGAGTTCCACACTCACACACTTGCAGAGCTGGAGGCACCAAGGCATGCCCACACTCACATTCCCAAACTCGCAGGGAAATAGGCTGAGAGGCCAGCGGAGATGCATACTGAGACCCACAGAGACAGACAAACTGCCCCCCTCCATACACACACAGTCCTTAGACACAGACACCAAAACACAGGGGCAAATCAAGACCTATGCATACATATCTTAGGCAGGGTGAACCCCAATCATCACCCAGTGCCTACTTTCATGTACAGAGAGACACAAATACACATGACAACAGACTGAATTCCCAAGACACATCCTAATAACCCTTCTGTGAATACATAAGCGCTCTCTCTCTCTCTCTCTCTCTCTCTCTCTCTCTCTCTCTCTCTCTCTCTCTCACACACACACACACACACACACACACACACACACACACACACACACCATCTCTCTTCTTGGGAGTCCTTCATCCATCCATCCCTCTCCTGTCTCAAGCAGCAGACAGGACACTTAGAATCTAGAGATCACAGGGCAGTGGTGACACATGCTTTTAATCCCAGAACTCAGAAAGCAGAGGCAGGCGTATTTCTGTGAGTTCAAGACTAGCCTAGTCTACAGAGAGAGTTCCAGGACAGCCAGGACTACGCAGAAACCCTGTCTTGAAAAAAAACCAAAACAAACAAAAATCTTGAAGATCTATGATCCACCATCTTGCATACAAACGCCACAGCTACCCAAGGACAACGTTCTTTCTCAGGTTCAGGCACTTTCATTCTTTGGGAGTGGAGGTCACCAGATCCTTAAGGGTGCTGCCCCAAACCTCTGCTTAGCTCCTGGGGAGAGGGTTCTGGCTGCAAAGGGAAGATGTGGTTACACTCCCGGAAGGGCAGGGATATGAGAGAAAGGAGACTTCCTCGCTTGGAAGGTCTTGTCTTGAGGAAGGAGGTGGACAAGGTCTAAGCCTGGAAGGTCCCCCTCCACCTGCCTAGGAATTCCAGAAGATCCAGCCTGCAATCATTTGTACCTGGTGCTGTCTACCTTAAAGACCCCTCCTCCCTACTCTACCTTAGCTTCTAGGCCTTTTGTCATTCTTCAAGTTTTGGAGCAGGTATTGCTGCTCTTGGAAGCCTGGGTGAAATCTTCGGCCCTGTTGTGACCTCAGTCCCCCTAGGACCTCTCCTAGCACCATAGGGAAATGCCTTAATCCCCAGGCGAGAGCCTCTGCATGGCTGGGAGACTTTGGAGTGCCAACAGATCTGAGTGGAACAAAGGTTGGAATCCCCAGAGCTGTCTCTGACCTTGGGCAAAGCCCTGAACTGTGTGTGTCCAAGATCTTATCTGTAAAAAGGGGACAGTGACAACTACCTCACAGGGCTGACATGGGGATTAAATGTACATCGTTTAGCCTGTGGAAATGGCGGCCGTACTATATGTTCATTGCTTGCCACAGAACTTGGTGAATATTTATTGAATTAATGAACGCCTCCAGTTCCCCCTCCTTTGCCTCCACCTCACATCCTTGCTTTAGGAGGGGGAAGTAGGAGCGAACAAAGATTTGGGGCCAGATTTGGGAGAGATGGGGCTTTCTGACGTCTCTGAACACTAGCTGCTCCAGCAGGTCCTCAGCTTGCCTGGAGGCGGCACCGGCTTCCTTTCACCTCGGTAACAACCACTTGGGCTATCATTTTCACTGGTCAGGTGAGGCAGCAAGTAGAAGTGGGGTCTACTCCTGCACTGTGTCCCCCGACGCCGCCCCAACACACACACACACACACACACACACACACACACACACACACACACACACACACACCCTAGGTGCGCACTGAATTCAGGGTGGCGGGAGCGTAAGTGTCGGAAGGATGCGCACGGTATGAATGAGCCAGTGGATGCATGAATGGAGGTGGTGAAAGCTTAAAGTACAAGGCAGGGTTTGAGCTGGGCGACCTCGGGCGCAGACGGGGCCGGGGCTCCCTCCCCTCCCTGCCCAGCCTCCCGCCCCGCTCCCTTCACTTCCCCTCCCCACGGCACGCAGTCTGTCCGAGCCCTCCCAAGCTACCACGGGTGCGGAGCTGGGGCCGCGCAGCCACCGAGCGGACAGCTCGGCCTCGGGAGGGGGCTGCCCCGCCGCGTCCCCTGCCCCTGCCTTCCCCCGCACCAAGGCAAAGTCCCGTCTGCAAGGTCCAGGTACCAGCAACCGATACTGCTTGGGGCCGGGAGCCAACAGGTGCGGGGTATGGGGGGGGGGGGGGCTCAGGACTGACATGGGAGTTCCAGAGGAGCAGTGGCAGGTGAAGGTGGCGGGGAAGGCTGGAATTTCTGGGGGTGACCTGGGTGCTGGGAGGCTGCGCCACCACCCACTCCGCTCACCTCCAGGCGGCTCTTGCTGACCCTTCTGGGAATCCTCCCAGACCCCCTACGGAGCAGGGATGTCCATCTGGGAAATCGGTAGGCCAGCGTCTCTGCCCCTCCCCTTAGGGCTCTCCGGGGACTGTCCACCCTCCTACACTAGTCTAGGGTCGTCCCTACCCAGCTAGGGGAAGGAGGGGTCTGAGGGAGAGAGGAGGGAGCGGCCTGAGTGGGGCTGGATTTATGAATGGAAAGCGACCTGCGCGCCGGCTCAGCGACCCCTGGCGGCCGTCGGGGGGCATCCCGACCCCGGGGACTCGAGGAGACCTAGGAAGGGGGTCCTGAGAATTCCGTTTCTGGGGAGAGGACTATTTCATTTATTTCATTTCTCCCAGGGAGATGGTCAGTCCCTTCCCATACTCTTCTTTCCTGTCTCTCTCTCTCTCTCTC